TCCCTTATTTTTCCATCCATGTTAAATTGACATCAGTTTTAAATCAAATTATATATTTTTTGAATATACGACAATATGGTGAATATCCCTTGTATGTTTAAAGGTGTTCTGCATAATTTAGGTTACCAACTACCAGTAGACGTTAGCAGGTGTTAGTGGCCACCAGTGGATGTCGGGGGGCATAACTTCAGTTTTGTACAACAGCATCATCTAGTGTTGTGGCCTTGTAATCAACAATACAGGCCAAACTTGAGGGTAAGCTGAGGGTAAAGTCAAATCTGACTGGTTACTGGCTTGTATGGCAGTACTATGAAAGCCATGTGGCCCACTCAGTAGATCAACAGTAGATCAAGTTGATGTTTTTTAATAAAACTGAAAAGAAAGAATCATTCTGCTGACCATTTCATTTCTTATTTTATATATTATTTTTTATTTTTTCCTCCTTTAGATTCTAAAATACTCATTATATACTCAAAGTCTTTTTCTAATGGCTGCAATCTGTGTCTTATATCAATATCTGAACTCTAATGATGCAGCTCTGCAACGATGAAACAAAGCTCCCTCTTTGTTTGTGAGCTGCCGTTTTAAAGCCGTTGGTATTTTGTCCAGCGCCATCTTGTTTTTTTTAAAACCAGAAGTAACTACATTTGAATACCAATGGCTCTTCATCCATAGGGGAGGGAGGTGAGTGACACTGCACACCAACCTACACCTGAAACCTGCTCCCGTTGGGTGGTATAATCTGTCAATCAGTATCTAGTCATATCAGTACCTGGTATCTACACCCCAATCAATACTGTATATGGGATCATTACTTACATGTATTGTATAGAAGACTTGATACAAGAGATGTGTGAATGATCTTTCAAATTGAATAATAAATGTATTTGATTTTATTTTTTAAAAAGGGAGGATATCCACAGGTTTGAGGTGGAGGTCAAGGAGTGGAGGGGAGGGGGTGGGTGGGGTGAGCGGATGGTAGACACAGGGTTTAGGGAGAGGAAGAATAGGAGCAAGGAGAAGGGGTCGGGGGGTTAAAAGGGATTCTTCTTTCTCTTCTCCTTCCTTCCTCCTCCATCTCTCTTTCCTCTCCTTCTCTTTCAAATTAAACGTAAAAACCCAGTCTTTAAAGCTCAAATGTAGCGAGGGCATGTGTGTCCATGTCACCATAGTGCCTAGTGTTTGCCTGTATAATGCAGGAAACAAGTGTGATGTAATGAAGCCTGGCGTCTGCGGTTCTTTTGGTGAACAACAGCAGGGTGATGATGGAGGTCAGGGTGAGCAGCATCCAACTTGGAAGAACGTATATTCTGTGTGCATGGAGTGAAGTTCGGAAATATTGAATAGCAAAGTCATTTTTGTCTTTTAAAATGATTTTAGTTGAATGTCATTAGCAATGGAACCCTATTAAAAAGCAAGTGAAATTATGTAATCCCAACACCGCAATGTGAAAACGTTATGTTAACATATATACAGTATTGGTGTAAAAGAGGAAAGTTTTCAAGCAACAGTCACAGGGGACACAGTGTCACAGTGACATGTACAACACACCCTGATGAATCTGATAGTGGATCTCTCTGATCTCTTCTGTAAAATGACTGAATGTATAGATATCAAAACTTCATCTTTACCTGGGACTCATCCAGTCCTGTTCGCACCACGTCAGCCTGTTTTTTTACGACTGTACTGCCACCATTTGGCCGAGAGCTGGTACTGCAAGCATGGTGGTGTTCCTCTCAGGTGGTGTAGTAGTTTTGCTTATATCTACAATAGCTAGAAAATAGGTGCATGACAATATGAACCCTCCAGAACAAAGTGGTGATTGTTCATAAAAAAGTGACACAGTTTGCTTTGGCTGATAACATACAAACACTTACAAGTTTTCAGGTCTTTACTGAACACACACTGAATATTCACAGTGCTGGTGGAGAAAGAAGTGAATTTATAGATTCAGTCGCCCGGACATTTGATCATCTGGTAGAAATATATAATTACCAAGTAATCTCTTTGGTAATCTTCGGACGCACAGTGATTTTACTTATTTTTTACGGTGAGAACACACACCATTAAAGGTACAGTGTGTAGAATGTAGTGATATCTAGTGTTGAAATTGCATGTTGCAGCTAAACAGCCCTCACCTCAACCTCTCCTTCCAAACATGAAAAAGAAACTGTGGTAGCTTCAGTTCTTCAGCTCTAAATGTTTAGTTTGTTCAGTCTGGACTAATGTAAAAAACATGGCGGCCTCCACAGAGAGGGTCCCCTCGATGTAAATATAAAGTATTTAAATATAAAGGACGATGTAATAAACTAGTGAAAACATCATGAGGATTATTCTACATTACATTTCTACCAATAGTTCCCTTTCACCTAAATCTTACACACTGGACCTTTAAATCATCTTTATTCGTGGACAGTTTATCTGAATGTGGACTAAACTTTGTAGCACTTTGCAAATTCATGCAAATCAATGATTTCTTCTGAGACCTTTTTGGTAACTGTTTCAAAACAGCAGATGCTTCTCGTGTGTTTAGCTACCTCACACCTTCAGGATGGTTTCATTGACTGGACAGGGTTGTTTACTCCTAACTTCTCATGCCTTTAGCTGAGGGTGTCACATTTTTCCTACCTACGCTGTAAATGTTAGAATGATGTGTACAAACCGACAAGAACAAGGAAATGTGCATTACTTGTTAAAACAAATTGTGTTTGTTAATTATTGTAAGTTAGATGAAGGTCTGATAAAATTATGAGACAAATTCATACATAAGTGCAGACAATTCCACAGAGTTCACTTCATTTTTCTTGCTGTTGCAGTTTCAAATGGTCCAAACTGGTAATGGGTGAAGTCATTTACATTCTGCTTGTTTGGAAATATGTCAGAGATGTGACTTGTAATCCCATGGCAGCTGTAGATAACCAGTCTAACTGGTTTAAAAAGCCTGTACATCCTGTTTCTCTCTTTAGCGTGTCAAATATCTTTGAAGTTGTGAGGGAGCAAAACAAGAAAGAGAATTGTGTAAAATGTGCATCACAGTAAGTTTCCAGAGTCCGGGGTGTAATCTTCTTGCAGTATTTCTTGTTTCATCCAAAAACTCAAAGATGCTCAGTTTGCAAGTAGATAAAACAGAAACGAGTGTTATTATGATAGAATAAACTCACTAGTGGTCATTTTGCTGCTTGTTACCAAACCTTATAATCGCCTCATACTCATGTTTTCTTGTATTTAGCACAACCCCCAACATAACCTCTTAAATATGCACAAGAAGAAACAAACACAACACATATAACACCTTTGTTCTGCAATTATTACTCTCCAATAAGACAAAAAAGAAACTGAAACCAAGTAATGTTGTTAAATTTGATTATAATGTGATAATAAACAAGCTGTATTATATATCACCTTTCAAAACACAGTAACAATGTGTTTTCCAATTTAAAAATGAAAAATGAAAGGTAAAACATTGGGAAACAATCAAAAGCAAGATTACACAACATAAGCAGAGATACAGAAATAAAAAGACAGATGATGCTGATGAGTAAAAACAAGATAAAATAAAACATTGTGAAATGATTGAATAGTTAGTAAGAACAGGAATAGGGCAGAGCACAACTATAACATGTATTTTTAAGAGGGATATAAAGAGGATAAATGATTAACAGAAAGATTTCCAGATTGTTCCACAGAGCGGGAGCCCTGACAAAAGCCTGGCCACCTCTGGTCCTCAGCTGGGACTGTGGAATAGTGAGTCGGGTCTTCACTGAGGTAAAACTGGGCATATGTGGAGTCAAAAGATCTGAAATGTACTGTACAAGTCCAGAATGGGCCTTCAAGGATCAGTGTGTAGAATTTAGTTACATCTAGTGTTGAAGTTGCATTTTGCAGCTGAATACTCCTCACCTCACCCTCCCCTTCCAAACATGAAAAAGAACCTGTGGAAACCTTCCGTTGTCATAAAAACTCAAAAGGTTTAGTTTATACAGTTTGGACGACAGTAAAGATCATGACTGCCTCTGTAGAGAGAACCCCCACCTGATGTAAATATAAAGTATATAAAGGGCTCATTCTAGAGTAAAGAAAACAATAATCAGTACAATTTAGATGAAACACACTAGTGAAAACATGACTAGGATTACTTTATTTTCAATTTCTGCCAATAGATTCCTTTTACCTAAATCTTACACACTGGACCTTTAGAAGTCAGTGTTTTTATTATTACTATTAAACATTTTAACTCTGGGACATGCATGCACTTGGCAGCTCTGATCCCAACCTGGTGTACCTGAGGATTGTGCTGAACCACCTACGGACCCTTACGAGCTCCGAACTGGATCCCCTTCAGTTCGCATATCGTCTGGGCATCGGGTTAGACGATGCAGTCCTGTACCTGCTGCACAGATCCCTCTCTCACCTGGACAACCAGGGAGCACCTCCATCTTCTGAGGAGACTGAAGTCCTTTGGAGTGTGCAGGACTCTGCTGAGGACTTTTTTTGACACTGTAGTGGCCTCCGCAGTGTTCTATGCTGTGGTGTGATGGGGGGGCAGCTGCACTGAAAGGGACAGAAAAAGGCTCAACAAGCTGGTAAAAATAGCCATCTCTGTCCTGCAGTGCCCCCTGGACCTGATTGAGGAGGTTAGGGTTAATCAAATCTTATCTTGTCTTATCTTATCTTGTCTTATCTTATCTTGTCTTATCTTATCTTATCTTATCTTACTTCATGATCATCCCACTGAGATACAGAGTTTTACAGATACGACTGGGATGACACAAATAAACTTGAAGTCTGGCTAGATTCATATATTTAGTTTGTGATATGTGTGAGTACATTTTGAATAAAGAAATAAATGGAGTCACATTCATTCCATAATTTCCTCATGAAGGCAGCGTCTCTTTTCACTCGGCTCAACTCGGCTGCACTCGGAAGGGGGGGAGTGGGCGTGTCCGGTCGTGGTGCGTCTCAGGCCGCGGTACAATCGGATGATCCCAGGAGGGCGGAGCCAAGTAGGAGGAAGTGGTACAGGCTGACTGCTCCCAAGATAAACCGGCGGCCAGCATCACTACCCGGCAGTGTCACCGTCATCTTCCTCAGCCTCCTCCTCATCACCACCGCTGCAGCTAGCAAGATAACAACCTCTCGATCAATCACACACACACACTGAGGATTGAGCTGCTTGTAAACCGAGCGACACTTTGCATGCTGCGGTTTCTGGAAGTGAAGGACTCGGAGATTAACGATCCAGATACGCGGCTACAGGATGGAGACGCAGATCCATGTGCCCGTGGGCTCGCCGGTCATCAGAAAAATCCCCATCTTCGTGGACGAACACGACGTGGCGGGGGGGGCGATGAGGCTCATCAAAGAGCTGAGACCGGCGTGGGACTCTAGCCGTGTCAAGACCAAGGTAACGTTAACCGCTAAGCTAGCTGCAGCAGCTCAGCACCGTGTGGCCAGGCTGAGACTGACAGCTCTGCAGCGGTGTGAGGCAGCCGTGGAAACACGACACCCCGCTGTGCTTCACTAACACACGACACCCACTGACATGCTCTCCCTGTCATTTATCAATGAGGCGTTCAGTGGAACAGTGTGGGCTGAGCTAGCAAGACGCCCCCAGTTAGAACTCCAAACTATGCTAGCAAGCTAGTGACGGTTAGTGGATTAGCACAGAAGACAAGAGGGGGATATCATATCTGTTGAGCTAACGTCATGTCCATTATCAGACAGCTTCATGTGACCACAGTACACAACATGGGGCAGCCAGTGCTCTGCACGGAAGCCTACTGTCACCCTGGTGTCAGTGGCAGCTGGTGGGGACATGGGGTCAGTTTGGTTGGGAAACATGAGGATTGTTAATTGCCCAGGGGAGAAGACACACCTAATGGAGGCTGTTACAGCTGGCTGCACTCAGCCTCAGTGTTTAAGTAATAGAAACATGACAGGTCACTGCATACTGTCAAAAGAAACGATTACCACACGTATAAGTGTAACAGCTCAGTGATATATCATATGCCGTTTACAGTTTGATGCACACATGGTATTTGCAACACTAATCGACTTAAAAACTGTTTTAATATCGAAAGACCTGTATTTCAGCCCAACGTGCAAACAATACTCTCTAAAATGAAGAATTAAACTCTCATGTTCCATAATCCGATTCTTTTTGTCTTCGTGAGAATATTGTAATTCGGACAAAGAACAAATGCCCACAAATAAAGGTGATGACTGATGTTGTAGCTCAGTTGCATCGTACAAGGCAAAATTATGTATATAGAGGAGACACTCGTACATTTAAGGGAAAACACAAAAATAGCAAACATACAGTTGACATTAGGGAAAATATACAAATATGTAACTGCTCTAGTTGTTAAGATAGGAAGACTATGAAATTCTTGTGTCAGCTTGTTCCAACGTTACAGTAACAGTGCCATATACAATAGAGTATTACAGTGCACTATAAGGTTAAACAATGGAATTTAAATTGAAAGTAGTAATATAAAGTGTCTTAGTTGTAAAGGCAGAACCAGAACAGATGAGACAATAAACTAACGCTTAACTGAAGTGGCAATAGAAGGTAGTAATGGCAATGATAATAGTAGTTAGTTATATTTAAGTAAAATTGCACATTATATTACCATAATAAAAGAATATTGTCACAAATTAGGGTCTAGGTGTTGAGTTTTAATGCCTTTCAATTCCATAAAAGATGTCTATGAGAATTCACAGTGACTGGAGCAGAAACCAGGGTCAAAGAGGTGCATGAGAGGAACTGTTGCTCCTGTAGACTCGGTTCTTGTTGTCACAGCAAAAAGCTCTCACGGACTGTTGCTTGTGGATGAAAGAGACACTGTAAAACCAGATCTGCAGAAAAAAAAACTCAGTGGGACGAAGCTTCATCCTGAAGTCACAGATTTCAGTGACAGACTGCTCTCAATGCTCGCAGGACAGAATGCTGCAACAGTGTTTAGTTATTAGTTACAGAACTAAGTTAAACTACTGCTGCTGCTGTTGAAAATATTAATTAAGTACTTAATATAAAAGCATTGCTGCAACTGTTGATGGTTTTCATAATCAATTAATATTTTGGCTCCATAACATCGGAAATTTTTTAAAATAAGCACTTTTCATAGAGCCAACTAATATGGATTTTTTCTTATCTAAAAAAAAAAAGCAATGATTCTTAAGGTCGTTATCAAATCCTTATGATAAAAAAAAGTTTCACATTATGAATTTATACTAATTGATATGAGAATTAAAAAAAATCATAATCCATCAAATTTCTATTCTGCCTATCGCTTTTTCAATGGTTGCTGGAGTCAATCCCAGCCCACACTGTGCGAGAGGCACAGTACACCCTAGGCAGGTCACCAGCTCATCACAGGGCTGACATACAACCCAACAAACAGCCTTTCAGTCTTACATTAATACCTTCCATCTGTCTAGAGTCTCCAAAAAATGTAACCTGCATATGTTTGGACTATGCTAGGGAGCCAGAGAACCATGAGAAAACCCACACAGACACAGGGAGAACATGCAGACTCCACACAGAAAGGTCAGGCTTTTTAAAATCAAGCAAAAGAAAAAGGATAAATTCAACAGATTTCTTCAAATGAATATCAAGGCAGCAAAAGAAAGAAAAGTGCAGGAGTATTCTAAAGTATGACTATGGCCTCTTTTCAAGATAGCATATTAATCTGTTGCCTTCACCATGTCTGTTTTATAATTAGCTCTACCACTTTCCAATGAAAGAGCACGGGAAACATCAGTCTGTGTTGCGATTAATGCGATCAGTCTGAAACTACAGTTCAGATAAAGTGGCTGCATTATGTGCCTGTTTGTGTTATTATCTTAGTTGCTAAGAAGTAGTGAAGTCATAATGCCCATATACTTTATGTAAAGTGTGGTGTCTGAACTATTTCTGTGGTACTGTTGAAATGAAATACACTGCTCAAAAAACAGAAGGCAGGGTTTCCCGCAGCGCTTTATAGTTAAGGCGGCTGCCTTGACAACAACGGCCCCCCGCCTTGACTACGTCCCCCCGAAAATAAATAAATAAATAAATATTCCGCATCCCCGCATGCATAGACAGTAGGTTAAAATAAGGCCGCATCGCAATGAAGTGGAATAGCGGCATCTGTAGGTTAAATATATTAAGCCATCTATCATCTGCTGTAACTGTGTGGCAAGGCCAACATTTCTTTTTTATCGGGAAAGAAGCTAAATCCGACAACCGGATAGCATGCCTGTCATCGTCGTGGGACCTACAGTGCCACGCCCTCCTCCTCCTCCTCCTCCTTCCCACCACCTTGACTGACTAATTGTCTGTTTGAGAACAAAATGACGTAACAACCATCAACAGAAACCAAAATCATCAACCCATTGAAGGCTGGATTCAAAACCACGCTGACAATCAAAGTAAAAATATTAAATCTGACTGATCCAACTTGCACAAATTTCATCACAACAACTCATAATGTGACTCATTAGGGTTTATGGCCCCCGCCTGCATGCAGCCCCGACAGTGTCTGGGCATGCTCCTGATGAGTCGGCGGATGGTGTCCTAGGGCATCTCCTCCCAGACCTGGATCAGGGCATCAGTGAGCTTGTACACAGTCTGTGGTGGTACTTGGTGTTGTAGGATACACCAATACATAAAGTCCCATAGGTGCTTATTGGATTTAGGTCAAGGGAACATGAGGGCGAATCAATGGCATCAAGGCCTTCATCATCCAGGAATTGCCTACACACTCTGGCCACATGAGGCTGGGCATTGTCCTGCACCAGGAGGAACCCGGGGCCCACTGCACCAGCATAAGGTCTGACAATCGCTCTGACGATTTCATCCCGGTACCTAACAGCAGTCAAGGTACGGTTGGCGGTGACATGTAGGTCTGTGCAACCCTCCAAGGGTCTGCCTCCCCAGACCATCACTGACCCACAGCCAAACCGGTTGTGCTGGATGATGCTACAGGCAGCATAACATCCACCACCATCTCCAGACTCTTTCACGCCTTTCATATATGCTCAGTGTAACCTGCCCTCATCTGTAGAAGAGAACAGGGTGCCAGTGGCAAACCTACCAATTCGATGTTCTCTGGCGAATGCCAATCGAGCTGTATGGTGCTGGCTGTGAGCACAGGTCCCACTAGAAGACATCAGTCCCTCATGGAGTCTGTTTCTGACAGTTGAACTGGTGTTATACTGTGAAGATTAAGTGTTCACAAAAACATTTTTTGAGCAGTGTATTTAGTAATATAAACATTTCTGAACTTCTCAATGTGACTTGAGCTCAGTGATATGATGTGATCATATCACTCAAATACTTAAAAAAATTATTCTTAGCAGACTTAGAGTTAAAATTTGTGTAAATTTGTGTTAAGTGTCTCGACTCTTTGTCTTTTGAAGTTTAGTCGTATAGTTCATTCCATTCAGATTCATTTGTAATAATACAAGTTTGCCAGGTATAAAAATATAAAGTCATGAACTTATTTCGGTCATTGTTCATGGCGTTTTCATGCCCCACAAATTGAGAGAGGTTTTAGAAAATAGAAAAAATATTTTTACAAATTATAAAATGGACTTATTCATGATGCAGAGTGTAGTGTAGTGTTGCATACATTTGACATATTTAGGGATGTGCAAGTCAGTGGGATATTCTTATATTTACATAACCAGAGTACATGTGATGTTGACTAATACAGTGGCATTGCTGACTCACAAAGCTTGGCACAATGTATTTTTAATGAGCTACTTGACAAATGCTGATGGTGGTGGTTTGGTCAGGTATGTTGATCAGCCTGTCAGACAAAGGAAGATGCAAAGGTGATTCCTCATAAGTGACTCATCTCTCGTTGTCAGATCAAAGTCAATGGAGTGATGCCATTTACTGCTGTGACTCTCACCCAGCTATGGCAACCGTGTGTTTACATCCTGCTGGCTAATCTCTGTGGATCTGACAACACACCTGCCACCCAGAACACCTCGCTTGCTGAAAGCCATGACTTCCGTGGCTTTTCTCAATGACTGTCATCCAAGCAGCTTTTTCCCACCAGAAGCTATTGTCCAGGTGTGGCATGGCAAAGCTGCATGACTGTCAATATATTCAAGTCACAGCAGATGATCGAGTGACGAAGATGTGAGATTAAGTTTAGTGTTGGTTATTTTGGATGTGTCAGGAAGGATGTTCTCGAGCAGCGGGACTGTTGTTTTGATGAAAGCGGGAAGCGTTAAATGTGATGTGAAGCAGCAGGGCACAGTTGACAGAAACAGCTGCTTAGTTCCTCCACCTGGACAGGAAGACTTTTACTGTAAATACAAACTGTCATTTCCAAACATCTCTCACACACACAGAGTTCCTGAAAACAGACAGATTGTGCCAGTAGCAACAGAGCAGCACTCTCCTTTTACAACTTTCTCACGCTGAAGACAGAGTGAGTCTTCTCCGCCAAAGGAAGCCAGTTCCAGGCCGTGCTACCAGACCACTGAACCTAGACCCACTGATCGGGGAAAAAAAAATGTCAGACAGTATATGGATGAATGTTTACCTCTGTCTGGGTCCAAGCTTATCACTGTCTGTTGATGTATTGATTGCTGGTCTTAGCGGCGTATTGTGTGGCGGGTAGACAGGATCAGTCATGTGGTAGCAAGGGCGTGTGTGCTTGTGTATGTACGGTCATAACCGGGATGCCTGTGCGCCCATCTTTGTGGTTAGTCACGTGTGGAATGTCAGATATGTGTGAGTGAGCGTCTGGGCTGGGGGCACATGTATATGTTGTTATTGTGTTTGCTGCAGTGGGATGGGCTTGGCCCACAGGCTTCCACTGGAGTGGTGCTGCGATCCAGAAAATTAAGGCCCAACTTCAGATGCAGGGGAGACTTTTCTTTGGGCAGCATTTATTCAGTAACTGATGCAACAGCAGCACCAACCTGCAGACGATTCAATGTGCCTCCATTGTGCAAATGTCAAAAAAAAACAATTGACCAGAAGTTTAAGTTAACATGACTAATGGAAATGATAACAGAATTAATGACAAATAACTACAATAAACTTCATGGACATTGAAATAATATTTATTTTTGCCATTATAATATAGATTTCAACGTGACAACTTATACAGTTTGTGTACATGTGTTTTGCATACACTTTTTAGCATCTAACTTCATATCAGACCATTTCCTCTTGACTTATATATTACTGCACTAGAAAAAAATGTACTATTGTTTTCTTCTAACTATCATATCCCCTTACATGACTAGTGAAACATTTGGTAAATGTATCTATTATTTATTTCATTTTGTATGTTGATTTCTAATCGTGCTACCCATCAATCATTAGTTTTTTAAATGAGACTGTCACCCAAAAGAATTTACCTATATATCTGTTTGTTTGTATATCTGACAAATATCTGATGCAATAACTTTTTTGGCTGCAGCCCCTCATCTGTTATGCTGTTGGTGCTTTTAAAAAATGTCATTGGTGTAACTATCCAAACAGCAGTTGAAACAACAAGAAAGAATTTGCTCATTGGCTTGAGATGAGACTTGGTCTTAGTCTTAGGTGCAGCCTTTATCTTTATTTATATTCCTAAACAATCACATGCACCGTTGCAACTGTGGACTGAAGATACGTGTGATACTGATTCAAGAATGTTGCTTTGGAACCACCATGGTGCTGTACACTGCAGGCTGCTCCACTATATCATATGAATCATTTTCTTCCCAGCTCTTCACTGATGGAACCACCAACAAGCTGGTGGGCTGCTACGTGGAGGAAAGTCCGGACGATGTGGTGCTGGTGCGAGTATACGGCAACAAGACAGAGCTGATTGTGGACAGAGACAATGAGCTCAAAAGCTTTCAGGTAGTGTAAAAATGGGTGTGTGTGCACTCTCTTTAAGCACCACAGATTTGTTTCATGTGCTGTGTTTTTTTTGTGTGCCTCATGCTTAGGTGCTACATGCAAATGGCTGTGCTCCCCGCCTCTACTGCACCTTTCAGAACGGCATCTGCTATGAGTTCATGCAGGGTGACGCTCTTGGGACGCAGGATGTCCGGGATCCTTCCCTGCTCAGGTGTGGACATGGTAGAGTCATTGGGCTGCTCAGGATTTTTACAGGCGTAGCCCAGAGATGATACATTAATAAAATATTGGGAGGTAGAGTTTTGCTCAATGCCCTTAACATAGCAGGAGAGACCAACGTAAAGCATACACAGATTAGATACATGCAGATGATACAAGTGAAACAAATAACAAAAACAAACAAAAATACATTTGTGCAAAATAGGGATGTCACGCTTAACTGATTTTATAATATCCACAGTTTCATAGCGTCACATTTTCCTAACCATAAGAATTGTAAAAACTATGATATCTAACTATGGTGTCCAGCCTCTCTCGCGAGTCACATTTTGTCTGCACCAGCCACTGAAACGTTACTTGAGAAAAGGGAACTGACTTAAGTCTTATTTCCACCAAGGCCGGACAAAGAACTCTATCAGAGGAGAAATCCTTGTTTACTTTCAGTTCCTGACCAGCTCCGCATGAGCGGCTGACACGCACTTCTCTATTAACCATTATAAATGTAGCCGAGAGTTTAATTTACCTATACTGAGAGGTAATAGTATAATAAGGACATGAAGAATGTGGCTTGAACAGGACAGTTTACTTTTCCACAACTAAACAACACCTTGCTCCCAAAACAGAACAACTTCCCTCAGTGACCCTTCACAATAAAAGTCCCATACAGATACACTGCCTATGACAACAGGAAACACAAATTCATTGACCAACCTTCCACAATAAGGCAACTACATAAAATAGCTTACATAAATTATACTTTTAAATAGCCAAACTGGATATTGTTGATGATAATAATACATATTTTAGTTCATTAGCTATACAATTAGATGTTGTTTGTTGTGTCTTTGTCCTTCTATAGTATCAATAATCATGAAAATTGTGACATCCGTGATATTTCCTCTGACAATAATCGTGGCACCAAAATTTAATATCGTGACATCCCTATTACAAAAGAATTGCTAGTGTCTGTATTATAACAGAAATGTGCCCAAAGCAGTCAAATGAAATTCTTTATTCGGTAATGCTCAATGGCTTTGGTGTGTATTACATGAAGTGCTCAGTTGTTTTCATTATACTTATTCCCAGAACTTCCCTTATCTTAACCCTGAAGCATATCTGTCTGTCACTGGATCCTTGGGATTATTTTTAATCATGGAGAAAACAATGTAATTGTTATATGTTGAAAATCCTGTCGTAATCTTTCTTTCGTGTGTGTGTGTGTGTGTGTGTGTGTGTGTGTGTGTGTGTGTGTGTGTGTGT